CTCTCTCTCTTTCTCTCTCTCTCTTCTGGGCTGCGCAAATGCGCGGTCTCGATAACGAGACAATAATGTGCGGTGACCTGTGCCAATAATTTCAATTTGCCGAGCTGCAAAGGTCTAACTAAGGGCTCTTGAGAAGGGTGTTGCACCCTCACTGACGATGCATTCGCACCTGTGCAGACTCATACAACCTGTATAGCGAGCATATGAGAGTGTCATTTACCGTTAACGGTAATTATTCGCGATTGTCCCGCGACGAAACAGCGTTTTATTCGAAGATAGTTTTATCGATCTTTTTTCGATATTTTACAACTAAAGTGTGTGTACATTATTTAAAACACATATTTATTTAAAAAAATACAAAATATTCTAAAATCTATTATTTTTAAACAACTATCTATTATTTTATTAGATTTTATCATGTAATATTTGATGTTTATAATTTTAATATTAATTATATTTTTTATTGAGTTTTTGTGCTCGTTAGAACAATTTTTACTTCTAATCGCAGTTTTGTTCTTTTCTTTCTTATTAAACTTGTTAAAGTTCTTATTAAATTATAATCAGATAATTGAATAAAAATGAAAGGCATAATTCTCTAGCTTTATAATGTATTAGTTTTTTTCATCAACTGTCTTTTTTTTTTTTTGCAAGTTTGTCTTTTTTTCTTGCTCGCGACAGTATCGTCCTTGCAGTCTCGTCCTTCGGCCCAGGAGAGATTCATTAAGGAATTCTGCGTCAACCTGGGAAATCGCTATTATTCTCCGCGGTTCTTGCGGCAATCAGTGTGTGGCGACATCACCGTAGGTATCGCGGGACCAAATCCGCGCGCTATTTACCGCAAAATTCAAATCCCGTAGAGACCACCGCGATAGTCGGTTAGCGAGATCGGAGATTGTGTCTGGCTTCAGCGGCGGCTGAAAATTTTTGTGAGCTTAGCTGGAAGCGACAATTCATCGGTTGTTTTAGAATAACTTATCGCATGCGTGTGAAATCATCTTTGAGTTGAATCACCCGACGGTTTAAGTCCAATGTCTCCAATGATTAAGACATGACTAATCCTATCTGTATTTGGTTAAAACGCGATAAACGAGTAATCGATCGATTTTCTCTTTTACGATAGATTTTTTTTTTCATTCCGATTTATTTTTTTACCAAATGTCTCGGATCCACATCGTACGTTGACGCTTTAAATCGAAATAAACACGGCGAAATATTTGAAGACGCCACTGTTGCGCGTGACGCCTAGAGTATTCGGATACGAGAAAGATTGAAAATAACTTTGCGCTCTCAGGTGTACATATATTTTCAGTTATATTGAATATCGAGATAGAGCGCTTTTGCATATAACGCTATATTTCCATGAAAATCCATTAACGAAAGGAAGAAACCGTCAAACAAGAAAATAGACCAAGTCCCCTAAGTGCAGCTCCAGGAATTTCTACAAAGAGCAGAAGAGATACCTGCCTGTCGTCATACGTACGCATTGTACCGCACATATTTTTTCTTTAAAGCTCGAATATAAAAGAAGACGCTGTGATCTCAATTACACATTGTTTCTTTGTTGGATAATGCGAATCAAGATATCTACATCTTCGTGTCTTTGGTAATCGATAAACGCGCAATCAACTCAATTGTTATAAATTTCAGGTCAGTGTATCTTTCAGGTCGTGATAAAAAATAAAATCTAAAAAATAATCATTTATCTAAATGTAAAGAAATCATTTTACAAAACGTATTCGCGATGCATACGCGTGTATAAAATCCATTAACCTCCGGATTTACGCAAATCCGCCACTTGCAGACTTGGAAAATTGTGTCTTTGCTATTTGAAAGGAACGGGGAGAGAGCCACGTACGCGCGTGCGGATTGAGCTAATGCGGACGCATGTGGATCTGCCTCTTTAACCTTGACCCTCGTAACAATCGCAAACCCTCCTATCGGAGGTGAATCATCCCCGGCGCTGCGTCCGTGCTGGTCGCCATAAAACGTGCCTTGTCCTCTGATTTGTGTTATAAGTACCTCTATTCTCTCCATCTTCTACTGCGATTTCATTGCGATGGTGTAGAGCGGATATACAGTATATACACAATACTCGCGCGCTGTATCAATCGCGAATTATTTATGTCGTCGGGTGGAAATGCAATATTTAATAACAAAACACTTGTCAATTATATTATAAATGAATTTAACTAATGTAACATGTAAATTAATTAATTATAAATATCAACATTTAACACATTTTATTTATACGCGCTCATAAATCATCATGTGTAAATAATTTCACATGCAATAAATCGGTTGTGAAGGGAAGGGATATACAAATCATCCCCAGCGTTTTTAAATCCCAAGAAATCTTGGGACTAAATCGAAAACGTAAGAGAAACGTGCGCGCAACGAGATTCGCGTGACTTTCTCTCTGTTCTTCTCGTCGGAAATAAAGAAAAGTGTTTGATACGCGCGACGGGCATCAAGCATCATGTCGACATATGGGATCTTTGCGTTAACCTTGACCCTCGTAAATACCGCGATGGTGTGCCCACCACGCCCCAGCCGGTGAACCATCCCCCGTTTACTTCCCCGTAAACGCTTTTATCTCGGCTTGCGCGATGCGCGAGCAACGCGACTACCGGCGCTCACTTTTTTTCTCTCTCAATCTTTCTCTCTCTCTCTCTTTCTTTCTCTCTCTCTCTCTCTTTTTCTCTCTCTCTCTCTCTCTCTCGTCTCTTTCACGATTATATGGAACTCGCGAGCATCGCTGCTGGCTCGTATCGATCTCTTCGCGCGCTGAACATCCGCCGCCGGTGCTCTCTTTCTTCATCCGCCGGGTTCACTCGTGCATCGAATATTCAATACGACATCGGATAATACGGGGTAATAAATTGAAGACTTGACGCGACAAAATCTGCCGGTGCCCCGGTGTCCTGACGTTATTTTTTTTTTGTTGACAAGAACTTTCCAAAGGAGGATCATACTTTTCTTCAAATATTTCTTCTGAACTATATCTACAATATGCAATGTTTTATTTTTGAGATTCTGTAATATTTAAAAACTCTTACAAAGGAAGCAATAAGATTAAGGCTTTGTGATATCTACGTTATTTCTCTTATTACTTTATAAAGATAACACATAATACATATACATATACAAAAAATAATTAATAAGTATTCGAAACGACGAATAGATAGCAAAAGTATGACATTGTTATTGACAGTTAAGTGTTATCCTTTAGAGAAACAAATGTCAAACGCTGACTCATCATCGCAAATAATGTTTGTGTGACAGCTCGTAAAAATAGACGCTTTTAGTGATGTTTGACGATGCTCACACTTCAACTAAAGCAATAACAAAATTTATAAAGTGGTCTCTTTGAATTGCTGTATCATCCGCCTTATTTGCCAAATATGACCCCGTGAGATTTTCACTTATTTCCAACTCCGAAAAAATGGCTCGGTAGAAAGAAAGAAAAATAAAGTAAAATGGGCCAATTTTAGTTCCCGAAGCGATAAGTAAAAATATGTTTTTTTTTTTTTAGTTTTTGAGCTGCCGAATTTGATTCTGACCTTTGAAAATTTTAATTTGTCGGGAAATTAAAATCAACATATAAAGCTATTAAACATATAAGAAGCTATTAGGAGAATAATTAATAAAAGTATAAAATTATAGTAAAATAAACAAAATATAAGTGAAAATCGATCGATGTATGAATAATGCAAATTAATAAATAAGAAAGAAGAAACTTTATTTGATCAGAGCGAATCTTGGTGTTTAAAAATATTTTTGGCGCGAATTTTAGTTACCAGTAGTAAGATACTATATACTGTTGTATATAATTTTACAATAATAAAATATTTTTAAATAGAAATCGATATATTATACGCAAAAGAATATTAAAAAAAGAGAAAAGCAAAAAGTTTTTGAATAAAAAATTAAATGAAACAATTGCTCAGAATCACTTTCACTGTTAGCAACATTTATACCGAAAGATGTCTGATTAATGTTTAAATACGTTTATAAAAACATATCCTTTTTACTTGTCGCTTTGGAAACCAAAATCAGTCTATTTTAATCTTTCTTTTCGAGCAACAATAAAGCCATGGATGGCGGAAATGATCATTGTTAAAAATTTGACAAAAATCGTTTCTTCAAAATAATATAAATACTATTTCGAAAAGTGCGGATCAAAAAACTCTATCGAAGTAGCAAACGATTTATATTGAAAAATAAATTCATTTCAATAAATTGTTTATCTTTTTTTCATTTCGGATATTTATATCAATATCGTCCCTCGTATCTTTTCTCGAAAGGTTTTCTTAGAAAAGTTTATTGAAATGTATGAATTTCTGTTAGTTTCTGGAAATCCTAAGTGAACGCGAAGGTCGGAAGCGAGAAATGTGATTAGTTTTGCTTCTTATGGACACAGAAGGTTGCCGTACGTTCGAGCTGAAGAATTCATTGGAAAAGAATGCTTTAGTGTGTGTGTGTGCAGCCTATATAAATACATGTATTTCCTGTATAAATACTTTCTCACTCTAACGTCTTGTTTCTCGAAAAGTCGAAGACTGAACCGGCAAATATATATATGTACAAACCTCTTTTGTTTGGAACTTTGTTTCCGACAAATTCTGACCTGATTCGCCTTGAAACAGTAAACGCGGAAGCATGATTAACGCTTTACTACCGCGCTGACGACGCGCCCTTGTTTGTTCGAAATAGAATTCATGCGAAATTCACACGTACAATTGACAGGCTGAGTGATGAAGGAAGCGTATTACGTTGTTACACGAGAACGTTCGCTAAAGTTAATTATTTATTATTGCATCCTTTGTCTCAAAGACAGATTATTGCGAAATGCAATTTCACAGTCTCTCGATCGCTCTCTAACAAAGTTTTGTAAATCTGCACAATGTTTCTCTTGCAAAAAAAAAAAAACAAAAGAAGAAATGTTTTTTATTCTTTCAAACAGACAATCAAACAATAGTCGATGTAACTTTCTACTGCAGAACGGTCGTCATTGGCGCCCGGAGGAAATCCCGGACTTCCCTTAAAATGTTCAAGAAGCTCACTGGATCGTATCGAAGACGAGGGAAGGAAACAACGAGAAGGAAAAGGATAAGAGAAGAAGGAGAGAGAGCGTCGCTACAGGCGTCGGGATGAAGGTACACGTATTCTTTTTAAGGCGGAACACTTTACTGCCGCTCGTTCCAGCGGCGGTAATGGAGGATGCCCGACCACCCTCGAAGAATTAATTCGGGGCTAAAGCCGGTGCGAACACCCATCCCTACCTCCGCCGATATCGAGTCGCTCGCCCGGAAGTGTTAGTGTCTACTTACCACTCCTTCGGTTAGCTTTTTACTTTAGTTGACCGCATTAGCGCACGGTCTCTCGTTTCGCAAGGGGGCGCCGCTGCCGGAGCGATTTCTAATTTAGCCACCAATTTCAACGTCGCTACTACCGGAGAGAATCAGATATAGCGAAATATTTTCATCTCTCGACGCGAAATCGCTCTTTTAACGAAATTCTATTTCGCGCGAGATGTTAAAATTTTCATATATTCGCGTTTTTTTTTCCTCACTCATCGGTAAGAATTTCGGTGTTATATCTCGGAGGGAAAGGGGAAAAAAACGGTTGTGTGCATTATCTACCAAGTACTTCTGTTATGTTTTTTTTTTTCCGTATTACCGCGCGCGTTCTCTTACGATATTTTAGACAATATTTTATGACGCGCACACACAAAGGAACGTGGTTTTCCAGTCGCTTAACAACAACGTGGAAAAATGGTATGTACAAGGGCGTCAATCAATGAAACGCCCACACGGACATCTATCATCCATCAAATCGTTTAAAGCGTTTTATCTTACGCTCTCTCGTAAATTTAATAGGCGATAGACTCCGGTCTTTCCATTGTTGAATTTTGCTCGCCGCAAACTGTGCGCGCTGCGGGATACTTGGGCCAGGGGTGCGGTGGTGCGTACCATCATGTCAGTTTGCCGCTGTGTTTAAACCTTGAAAATCCAGAACCTTTCTCTCTCTCTCTCTCTCTCTCTCTCTCTTTCTCTCTTTCTCTCTCTCTCTTCCTATTTACTAGGGTTCTAGAGATTCTTGGCGCGGTTACTTGCCTCCCTCCCCTTGTACCTCTGTTGCTTCGTCAAGCAGCAGTCGGGTCCGTATATTCATCCCCCTGTGCAGCATCGGAGTGCCGTCGTCCGAGCGAGACGTCAGGCGTATTCCAGACGAAGAGAGAAAGAAGGACCGCAAAGAACAGAGAGCGTAACAGAGACCTCTTTCGTACGCCGGACGAAGACGCGACGAGATCGAAATCCCCGCCATGCGCGTCGCGGAAACGACCGAGGCTTGACGAAGCACCCGAGACGGTCGCTCAGTTACGCGCGAGACGTGCATCGTGTCGGGTCGCGGTGCGCGTGACTGCTCCACGCAAGCGGATACAGCGCAGTATCCGCACACAAAAAAAAAAAATCTCGGAATGGATGCGACATACAGCCGACTGGTATCGTCAATCGCGCGCGTGCGTTACATCAACGTTTGTCCGTCGCTCGAGTTCTCCCGATAGTACCGGCAGTCTAAGTGAAGAAACACCGTGACGTATCTTTGTGCAATGTCGCACAGCAGTACGACGACGAGAGCGTGAATGTTAGGCTTCCAGTGATCGCTTCGGTGTGTGACATATACGCGCTGTGTGGATATCTCTCTTTCTCTCGCGAAGAAGCGTTGTGGAATGAGATTGGGCGGTTGCTACGCGCGCGCGATATTCAACGAATCAATTTTCGCCAATTGATTTTTCAACGCATCACGTGCGAACGAAGGGACACATATCGAGTGTGTGTGCACCCACGGAAGATGCACGGAAATTAATAAATCTTCGAAGAGTGTCGCATTGTGTGTACACACACAAGGTAGAGCTCTGTCTCGCTTCGGAAAAAACAATCCGGAGAATTACCCGAGAGAAATCTTATCACATCCGCGTTTATCAGGAAACAATAATCTTGTCTTTGTCGGATGACAACGAATGATATATCATAGTTGTGGAAGAAAGGTCCGCGCGATATTCTGAAAAATGAGTTGTGACTATTTGCGGGTAGCCTTGAGCTTCCCGTTTGGTTGAAAGAGGCCGGAGTTATCAGAGCCTCTGTGCGCTTTGTTGCGCTCTACGCGTGCGGCATGTGATATGAGAGACTATCTCGTGATACGCGGGGAGATCCGCGCGCGCGTAATATCGATATTCACACCGGAGACCTTGCGGCAAGCTAATGTTTCTTCTCCGCTCTTCTGTTTTTTTTTTTTTTTTTTTTTTTTTATTTCCTTCTCCGGTCGACCGTGCTTCAGGGAGACAGAGAATTCATTATCGTAACAACTTAGCGCGAGAAGATTTGGTTTCTCTTGTCGAAAATTTCGCGTTTCGAGTAACAGAGAGAGAGAGAGAGAGAGAGAGATGCGCGTGAAAATTGTTTCAAAATATTTTAGCTAAAATTGAATCGCGAGCTTTATCTTTTGGCCGTGAGACCGTAAAAACGCGTTTCAGGTTTTCGACTTGGTAACTTCATTGCTTTCGCACACGCGTGATGTGTACGTACCAATACGCACGGCGAGGGACCGTGAAAAGAGACTGTGTGAAAAAAATTCCGCGCGAGAGATTGCAGAAAGCTGTTCATAAAAAACGTATCGTTATTCGCATCGATGTTACACAGGCGGAGCGTTCAAATAACGATATAACAATATATGTAGGCACGCGGGTCATCGCACGCGTCACCGAGAGAGATCGTTCGCACGTTATAGTGATCCGACCGACGAGCTGGCTACTCGATTCCGTCTCTCCCTCTCTCTCTTTCTCTCTCTCTCTCTCTCGAAATCGTCGAGCGACTACAATTTCCGCGAGCTCTCCTGGCTATCCGCATCTCTCTCTCTCTCCCTCTACTCTCTGCGCGTTCACTCACTCTGTCTCTCTCGAGCGATGCCGCTGGGCCTCTTCCGTGCGTGTGTAGTTTCCACGTTTTGTTGTCGCGCAGCCCCGACGCGGAAAACGCGCGGTGTGTACCCCCCCGCTGACGTGTGTGCGCGCGTGTATTTTCGGCGGCGAACAGAGATCGATCGGCGTTACTCGCGCTGGTCCCCCTTTTGTTTCTCTCGCTGTGTCGCGCGCGCGAACCCATGTGACTCGCCGCTGTTAGCGAAGCGGCGACGCCGCCGCCGATTCCAACGTCAGAGTGTCGTTCAACGCGCGTAAACTGACCATTTCTCGGTTCGAATAATAGCCGTCGATTTCGTTTCGTTCAAATCGGACTCGTTTTTTAGATAATCGGACGTTTACACATTTCGCTTATCTCGCCCTTTTATTTCTAGTTTGTACCTTGAGATTTGTCTTCCAATTTATTTATCACTCCCGCTTTTCTCGTCCCGTGTGAATAGAAAGCAATCCAAACGTTAACGGATCTGCGAAGCACGCGAATATGAATATAAAATGTTCGAAGAAACGTTTTTTTTTTTTTTGTTTCTTTTTACTTTGATCTCGGTTTTTAATCCGATTTTGCGCGCAAAGCTGATTCCAAAGTGGCCAGAAGGATTCACTCGGCGAATTTTCCGACCTGATTGTTTCCGATTTCGTCATGCGAGGAAACCGCGATAAAAACGTCAGCAACAATGTGTGTCTCGGGTCGGATGTAAAAATAAAAGGAAGCAGACGTGTCTCAAGGCTAGCGGACCGCGTATTATCCCTCTCTCAGGAGCGTAGAACCGTACATTTGACTCCCTCAGTTTATCTTTGTCATATTGCCACGTGAAAGTGTTTATTGCGCTGGATACGCCTTCGTGTGGTGGCCATAAATATGACGGCGGTCCAACGCTCTTCTCGGCCTCTTTTCCGATCGCTTTGTCCGCCAAGTAGATATCCCGATTTCAATCTTCCGATATTCCAGCAGATTTTCGCGCGATATTTGCACGTTATTATTATTATTATTATTATTATTATTCACTTGTTTGATTAGTGACGTTCTCTCTTTCTTTCGTTTCGTTGTTGTTCGTTTGTTAAGCGCGACAAAAAGAAGAAACCGACGATTGCAAAACGGTCAATTTTATTACTTCGGCCGTGCTTTCACAAGACTCTAAATTGTACATCTTTTTATATCTTATCTCTTGCTTATTTAAGTTGTAAATTTACGTTAGTGAAATGTATGTCGAAAATTAGAGAGCAAACCGCTTAAAAGAAATTTTGAAATATTTTGAGATATATATATATACACAAAGTCGATATTCTAGTTTTGTTACATATTTTATTTTTCTCTCCTCAGGGTGAGGAGAGAATTATATTTCCAAGTTTGGTCCTGAAGTTTTGAAACTGTCGTGTGTGTATAATATATGAGAGAATTATGAAAGAGTATGTTTTTCTTTTTTTTTTTTTTTTTATTATTGATAACACACTACGATCAAGCAAGTACGTGCGTTAGTGATGTAATGGAAAAAGAGGCAGAACTTGAGGGGAAGGCCCGTCGAGAATTTCCAAATACAGTAGCATACCGACGGGAAATCCGTCGTATTTATAACGGCCGCACGTTCCTCTCTCTCTCCATCTCTATCTCTCTCGTTTTCTCCTTCGACTGGCGGCGATGAATAACTGATGCCATATCCAATCAGTAAATGGAATCCGCGGCCGTGGCCGGAGAGCTCTGCTCCGCTAACAAGAATTTAAGACGCGGATTTCGGAGCAAATCTCGCCCCTCCTCCCGACTCCTCTCACGCCGGATGTTTCCCCGTGTACACGAGAGATAACGCGATCGTGCGCGAGATACCGAGACGATTTTGATGCACAGCGACGATGATTGATCTTCCGTACTGTCGAAATTTAATCACGATTAATTGATTTGTTTTCCAGAGATGATTCGTAGCAATGTTTTTAATCGAGAAGAAAATGTGTGTGTGTGTGTGTGTGTGTGTGTATGTGTGACGTTGCAAAAAATATGTTCACTTTTTTTTGTTTAAAAATGTTTAATTATCGTTGTGTAAAAATATTTAAAAAAATGACTTGTTTGTACAATCAGCTGTGCTAAAGTCTGACTCGAACAATTTAGATCTTTTAAATATTTAACAGATATTCTGACGCGCGCATTTAATATGAATAACGCGTTCACGGATTTACTAACACAAAAGTAAGCGGCAGAGATTACCATCTAAAATGCAAGTAATATTAAGTGAAAATTCTCGAGTGTTTTTAATAATTGAAATCAGATTGAGAGGCGCGCGGAAATATCAAAATCTCTCTCTCTTCTCGTATAAGATGGGTTGAACTTATTTTTTAAATTTGAATTTTAAGAAATGTTTGAGACATATGGGTGCAGCGTCGAAAGGAGATCGATCGTGATGATTTAAATTTGCGATATGCTAATGCAATTACTTTTTTAACGGGATACACACTAGCCGTGTTAAAAACTTTGATCTCCCAGATTTCTGCTGATGTATCTATGTATCTAATTGGCGGCACGGGAGGAAGTAAGCGTTAGTTCGCGATTTGAAGTGGAAGTTGCGTAAGATTTATTATACCACCGGAAATTTTCGAATGCGGTTTATCGTTTGCGACGATTGAGAACGAAAGAAGCTCTTGGCCCCAAGGTTGGGAGATCGGCGCGTGTTGTATAATAGCCACGCGGTTCAACGCGATCTCTTGAAGCGGAGCGCGCAGGGCCGTAGGATCGAGAGCACCTGCTCTCTCTCTTTCTCTCTTTCTCTCTCGGTGCTATTTCCGTACGCGCGGCGATTGAGCGGGCTGGCAAGACGAATCGACGCCAAGAATTCTGCAAATGATCGAACGCACCAAGTCCATGTTCTCGCGTGAAGGGGAGGGAAAAAAATTCGGAACACTCGTATGTTCGCTGGCTCGCGACCGGTCGTCGTGTTGCCGGTTCTACGAAAAATTCCATCGCAAATGAACAATTCGACAATCAAAATCGCGCAATTTAGAAATCCATAACACGCGAAAACGTGACAGAATTGGTGGATTTTATAAAAAAAAAAATATACAAACAAGGAAAACTTTAGGAAAGAGTATTTATAAAAAAACAACTTGCGGTATTGATATCGAGAGAAAATGATCGAGCTCGTTATTTCATCAGATCCAATGAAATAAAAATATTATCATAACCAAATAGGTTATGATAATATTTGGTTTGACTTATCTAGCGCTTATTTGAATCACTATCTGTAACATTATTGAGGATAGAAATTTGTGATGTATAAAATTTAAAAGAAGAAGAGAGAAGAAACTGCACATTTATATATATATATATATATACACATATGCAGGTATACCTTATTTAAATACGAGAATTACACCGTAAAAAAGAGCTTCAGATATTCTTAGAAATTACATTTATTTTTTTTTCTGATCGCACGGCACTTCAATAGTTCGAATTCAATTTTGTTCCAAACTCGGTTTTCCGTGACTGTAACGTCGTAAGTTATTTCATCGCGCGCGAGGTATATTCTCTGAAAGGAACATAATCTTTTATTTGCGGACCACACAGACGTGTTGTTACTAAACGCGTTTCTCGTGTACTTACCTACCGCGAACTTGAGGGGCGGGATTGATTCGCAGCGAAAGAGAGGACGAAGGTTTAAGGAAGCGTCGGCGAAAGCCATCGGAGAACAGGGGCGCGTACTGTGCCCGGCTGGGCACAGTATTCGCTATCGGCGTCTGTTATCGACATGAGAAAGCGGTTGACAGAGTTTACCGAGTATAACCCGACAGCAGGCCAGGCCCCCAGGACGCCTCACACGGTCCGTTGTGCTGCTCTCGAACGTGACTCATTCGTGTTCACGAAGGAGCGGAAATCTTGTTTGTAAGTACAGAGAGAGAGAGAGAGACGTTTGTCCTTTGTGACATGTTCGCGTGCGCGTGAGCTTATCTGTGTCCGATTGCTTCGAACAATTCGTGATATCCTGGCTCTTCTGACAGAACATAGGGAATTATAGATCTACAAGAGCTCGCGCGTGACACACACGTGTCCCTCGGACGAACAACTACGCTAAATAATATCTAATCAGGCAGGCAGATTGATATACGAGATAACTGCGGTGAGGAAATGAACTCTATTCTTAGATTATAGAAAACGAGATATCCCCCCTTGTTACGCGTAGGTCATCAGCGCGAGATATGAAACATTTGGACTCTGGAACATGTGCGATCGTTAGACTGTTACAAGGGCTGTCAAATATTTTGCGCAACATTTATTTAATAGAATAATTTTATGTTCTATTAAATTTAATTGCTGTTTTGCTGCGTGTTATTTTTTTCAATTTTCCAACAAATTGTTGGAATAAAATAATAAACTGCTTGAATTTGTGTTTTTATTTTTTTTCTTTCAGGTCACACATCTGAAAAACACCACGCGTCCCGGGAATGGAATTCTAATCTTTGATAACAGTTTTCCGCGTTTGAAGCAATGCGTGCCCAAAGCCCCTTATCATTGTCCTGTCCGGTGTTGGATTGTTAGACGACTGGACGGAGAACTGATAAGGGCCCGAGGGTCACAGAATCATCGTGGGATTGGATGTGTGTTGCATATTTTCGTCCGCTTAAAACGCCGGAAACAACGTGGAAAAAGCTACGTCGGCGTTTGTTCCGCAACGTGAATCTATGCGATAAAGTTGTGATAATAAGACATAACGAGATTTGTTTTTACATTCAAAACCTTTACGTTCGGTAATGTAACAATATGTGAAGATCATCATGTGTAATAATTAATAATAACAATAAAAGGTCTCTTATCGAACAATATAGGAACTTAAGACACACAGACCGTAAATAATTTTTCAAATTTTGTATTTTAACGTATTTGTTAGCTGATTTTCTCTGAGGAATGGGGCTCTTTGTATATATTTAGCTGTCTTTACTGTTTGTACAGCGTTCGATCTCCGACTCTCATCGTGTGAGTATGTTGTTTTGTCTGTGTGTGTGTGATAAAAGTGATAACTTACAAAGCAACAACATTTCAGGACATAATACATACCAACTTCAAAATATACTTTCATGTAAGAACTTACACCGAATTGTGACAACCATGACTTAATTAATTTATACTGAAGAAGACTCAAGTAGAATCGAAACGTTTATTAATTTATTAATTTGTTACCACGACAATTATTGTCACGGAGTTATATATATTGTTTGAATAAAACAAGTTCCTGTATTGCTCGATAAGAGACCTTTTATTGTTATTATTAGTTATTATTTATATCACGAGCGTTCTTTATTCTTTATTTTATATTATATCATCATGTATATTGTTATATTTTTGTAGTTTTATTAATTTACAATTTTTAAATTTAATAGCAGACATTTTTAATATTAGAAGTGACAGAATATTTTTATAAATCCGATTAAATTTATATGTTAATCAAACGAAACAACGACAAAATGTGTAATTAAATAAATATGTGTTTTTTAGATATACAAATTAATATTAATCTTAAGAAAGTAATCTTACATGTGTTATATATTAGAAAATCATATTTTAATTAATATATTATGTATAGTTTAATTATATATAGTTATTATATATATAATTATTGTATTTTATACGGGATGATTCCTAGTACAAAAAAATTTAATGGGATATTCTTTGGCTTATTTTATAAGAAAACATTCCTACAAACATATGATTCTCTGAAGTGCTTTGTGTTCAAATTATAGAATGTCAAAGTCGAGAAAAAAATATGAAAATTTTGAAGATCTAGAAAACGCTTAGAGATATTTTATTCAAATTTGGTGTGCGTACACATGTGATTAAGAACCAATTTTCAGTATCAATGAGACATTTTTTAGATTCACCAGTAACGTGTGTAACAGGCGATCGTATTAAATTGTTTTAAATAAAAGAATGGTAAGTCACTGTTTTTCCCCAAGTTTAATCATTTTTCTCGAGAACCCTAACTAAAAACTGCTTATGTTTTTTTGATGCGACTAGTCGTTTTTAAGTTAAAGTAAAAAATTGAAATTAAATAAATAGCCTCTTTTTATTAGAAAATATTTAGGAACCAGATATAGTGTTATATTTATTAAATTACTATTTATTAGGAACCAGATAGTATTATCACAAACAAAACAAAAACTGTAAAAACAACAGTAACTAAAAAGAAAAGTAAAGCATTTGAACAAAAAGATTGTATCAGTTTTTTTTTTTTTTTTTTTTTTTTTTTTTATTTTTTTCACGTTTGTATTTTGAAGACAAAGCGTTTTCAT